CGAATTGCTTGCCCGTTCGACTACCTGCCCTGGGTGCGGGAAGAACTTCATAATGAGATCTCGCATACTCAAGCACCTGAGAAGGTGCCCCAAGTGCCTGGCGGTCCTCCAAGCCATCGAGGTCCCAATGGATTTGCAGGAGGCAGCCGAACGCCGAGAAGAAGAACGAGAAGCTGTGGCGGCGAGGAAGGCAATGGGGCATGGAGCTACAAAGGCGCTGGTGCCCGCCCAACAGGTCATACAGCTCAAGCTGGCCGACTACATAGAGCAGCACCAGCTCCAACTCTCGCCGGCCCCGCCTGCGGCAGCGGACGTCCAAACAGCGACACCACCTGCAATCGTATTCTCACCGTGCAGGCCCATGGTTACCACGGCTATGTTCTTGCTGCACCTTTTCTCGGGCAGACGTCGAATCGAGGATTTCCAGTACCACTTCGAGATGAACATACGGGAATGCAACTTGGTAGTACTATCGATCGACGTGCAGATAGACCCCGTCAAAGGAGACCTGACGAAGCCAGACGTCGTCGACTTTTGGTGCGCAGCGATACGACAGGGCAAAATATTTGGTATTGTGGCAGGCCCGCCCTGCGAGACGTGGTGCTCATCGCGCTGGCATGCCGCCGAGGGGAAGGCACCTCGACCACTACGTACACATGAAGCCCCCTGGGGCATACAAGCAGCTAGCCAAGTGGAGCATCAACAGATCGCACTAGCCAACGAGCTATACAGGACAGCTTTACTACTCATCACCACGGGCCTGCAGTACAACGTCTCAGCCGTACTCGAGCATCCCGCCCCAGCCACATGGTGCCCCCAAGCGCCCAGCAGCTGGCAGCGAGCAGAGACGCTCTGGCTCCTGGAGCAGACGGGCGTCGAACTGCACTACATAGACCAGTGCCAGTTCGGGCAGGACGCGAGAAAACCAACATGTCTGATGGCGGCACACCTCGGTGAACTCGCACAGGAGCTAAGGGCGGTACCTGGGGGACAGCTATGCCGACATGCGGGACATGCCGGAGTTTACGGACGAGACGGCCAAGGCGGCTGGAGGACCGCCCCCCTCAAAGAGTATCCATCAAGGCTGTGTAAGGCAATGGCTACCGCCTTCGCAGCCCACTGGGGGCAGCTTGCTGACGCAGAGGCAATGTGGGCCGAAACGGACGACTGCTACCACAGGTTCTACGCCCCCTTGGATTACTACATGGAGACAGACCAGATCGGCCATGATTGTCACAGGGCATGGGGCAACCATCGGCGCTAGCAATTGGCACCGCGGCGGCTTATTTGGTGCAGCCAGGCGAGTCAAGCGTCCAGTATTATATACTTTTGCCCCGCAAGGGAACACTGGTCTGCAATTTGGCGCAGACCACCGGCTTGCTACAGATCGGATGGCAGCTGGCATTGCAATATTTTATACAGAGTATTTCAGATTGGCTGCAGAAGTCTCAGCGCACCTACGGCATGGCCCAAACCTGTTGCTAACGGGTTACTGGTACGGATGCGACCTGGACAACGATTGCGTGCCATCTCGAGGGGGGGGGGGCCCGTAGCGCCCATACGGGTGGGCACGATCCCTCAATGGCGACGGAGCGTGCCCCCCCCTCGAGCACTTGCTGGATTTATCGACTTTCCTAACATTGGCATTGTTTACTATGATCATTTGGCCCTGGGCAGGCATTACGGCGTGCTGCCTAAGTCCTGAGGAAGCCCCGAATGCGTGGGAAGACCTCAGGCAGCGGCGCCAACCTTGGTTATCGTTAGAACGCAAGACCTGGGGAAGCCCCGAATGCGAGGGAACACCCCAGGCACAAGTCGCCACGTTTTGATGTGTACCGCGGCGGCTCCTGGAGATCTACAGTATGGATGGCGCCAGCTGGCTGGCAGCGGGCGGCCCATTGGCCGTCAGCGTATCACCGACCGACATCGACAGCATACCCAACACGACCCCTACAACTCCTTTCAAGTCAACGCTGTCCTGGTGAGGATCAAACTTCGAGACGGGCTCGAAGGGCTGGGGGGGAAGGACGAGTACTTCCCGCGCCCGCCAGCGGGGATGGTGAGGGGCAGGGGGGGGGTAGGACGGCCACTACCCGCGCCCCCGCGGTCCGCCCTAGCTCGCCACCCCCACCATTCCCATGGAGAAGGAGGAGCTACCCGATCGCCCGAGGGCGAAGCTGGACAGCCGAGACACACCACTCCGACGACAAGTACCAGGCCTGGGGTTCGCCCCCACCGAGGGCACCGTGACCCCTAGCCATAGCGGGACGAGGTGGGACAGTAACGACCCCCACTTGAAGTCGGTGCATGGAGGCCTTGGGAGCCCACCACCAACACAACACCAGCAACAGCCCGATCCCCAACGACCTCGCCAACTCGCTCCACATCTGCACGCAGCCCCATACAACGACATCTATAACATCCGAGATCAGTACCCTCCTGCAGCTCAAAAGCAGGGGGTCATGACCTACGGCCCTCGCGTGGCAGGCGAGGAGAGTGCTGCAGAGCCGCTGAATCCAGAGGCTCGGCAGGCCTCCACAGCGCTGAGCGCCGAAGGGTGGAGGCCGCCGCAGAGAAGGCGGCCATCCACCTGACGACCTGGCGGCTGGACTCAGCGCGAGGCGCCGAAGGGAGCCCAGCCGCCGTACATGAGACCGACCGCTAGGCGAGGAGAGTGCTGCAGAGCCGCTGAAGTCAGAGGCTCGGCGGACTCCACAGCGCTGAGCGCCGAAGGGTGGAGGCCGCCGCAGAGAAGGAAGCCATCCACCTGATGACGTGGCGGCTGGGCTCAGCGCGAGGCGCCGAAGGGAGCCCAGCCGCCGCACAAGAGGCCGACCGCCCACAAAGAGGCCGAGGCCAGGACAGCGCTGCAGAGCCGCTGAAGTCAGAGGCTCGGCGGGCTTCCACAGCGCTGAGCGCCGAAGGGTGGAGGCCGCCGCAGAGAAGGCGGCCAGCCACCTGATGACCTGGCGGCTGGGCTCAGCGCGAGGCGCCGAAGGGAGCCCAGCCGCCACACAACAGGCCGACCGCCCACAAAGAGGCCGAGGCCTGGCTGCGGGCCGAGCTGGCTGAGCTGACACGGGCGCGCGCGGCGCCTGCCGAGGGCCCAGATGGGCCCTCATCTTTTTGTTTTACTGAAACCCGGCCCCTCTCTCCCTTCTCTATGATTTACTGGTCCCAGGCTCCCTCTTTCCCTCGGGGCCGGGTTCCCGGGGCCGCAGTCTGAGCGCCCGCACGGCCCTGGTGGGCCGCTGCAGAGCGCTCCGCGCCCGCGGGGCGCGCGACAAGACGCTGCATAGCGAGAAACGCAGAAACGCAGGAGGAGGAGGAGGAGGAGGAGGAGGAGGAGGATCATGAGGAGGAGGAAGAGGAGGAGGGAGTTGGATGAGAAGTAATTGGAGGAGGAGGAGGAGGAGGATAATGAGGAGGAGGAGGAGGAGGCGGTTGAGGACGAGGAGGAGGAGGAGGAGGAGGAGGAAGAGCTTGAGGAGGAGGAGGAGGAGGAAGAGCAGGAGGTGGAGGAAGAGGAATAGGAGGAGCTGATGTTGCCTCACCTCTCGCCCTGCTCCGATGCATGCCCCTCCTCTCTATCTTGCGCGCACGGGGCGGCTCTTCGTGCTGCCAGAGCCGAGCGCGGCTCGGAGAACTGGTCAGGCTCAGGGGCGAAACAAGGACGCACATGCACATGAATTCACGTTGTTTTCGAACGTACGCACTGCGCGAGCGTTCGTGACACGAGGCTGGCCTCGCGAACTGGGGCGCCGTACTTGTGTACGGGGCTGGGTGCGGGCGCTTTCTGTGGGCTCCTCACGGGCTGGATACCGAGATCCCCAGGGGCCGCCAGCTCGGGGCGGCCTCGGGCCAGGGACGGGGCTCAGGGGCAGCGAGAGGACAGGCTACGCGAGGGGCCGACGTCCGAACGTTGATGCCTATGCCGCGTCCTCATCTTCCAGGCAGGCCCAGGGGGTCTTGCAGCGTTCGGGAGGGCAGAGGCTGCGTTAGGTGGGACGTCGAAGGGCGTTAGACATGCAGCGTAAGGGAGGACAAGCTATATTGGGGATGCAGCGTTAGGCATGGCAGCCCTAGGGAGGGACGACGGGCTACGGGCTACGCTAAGCGGCGGGGAGTTGAAGGATACACACCTGCATACACATAGGGCTTTCGGCTCCCCCCCCCGGCGCGCTTTGGGGGGTGGGTCCAGCGGCGATCCAAGCAGGCCGCGCGGACCTCTGAAGGTTGACGCGCAGGCCGCGTTTTCTTCTTTCTGGCAGGCTCACGGGTGGATGCAGCGACCCCCAGTCGCCCACTGATCGCCGATGAGGGGCCCGATGGCTCGCCCCGCCCAGGAACGTGCGGTCTCGCTTTCGGGGGCATCTCGGCGATCTACTGGCGATGTATCGCCGATTCAAGGTCGGTGTTTCCCCCCCCCCCCCCCCCGGAGCTAGTCCTCCTAACGTTGGATCCTCAAGATCGGAGGGACCGCTCCGCGGCAGGCAGAAGAGCATGACTCTTGACGCCTCGCGCACGGCAGCTTCCCGCCGCGAAGCCATTGCGGGCGTTTCAGGCTGAACCCCGCCAGTGGCCCTGGATGTATCGGTGTTGAACGCTTTGCGATGTGGTCTGGAAAGCCGCGATCGTTCGAGGTCGAACGATCCACGTGGTGTCAGAGAGCAACGCCAGCGTCGTCGCGGCGCAAACCTGCCGCATCCTCACCGGCCCGTCCGGCAGCGGTTCCTAGGCGAGCTGCTTTGACCAGGGAGTTGCGAGAACGTACAGTGGCACAAGGGGGGATGGCACCGGCCCTATCGACTGCATATTCCCTTCTCGTATCTTCATCTGCAGACTGCTCAACCGCATCAGCTTTCTCTCTCTTGGGGCTACCTTGAGCGCTCCGCTGCTCGACAAGGGTGCGCGCCGAGCCTGGCCAGCCTCTCTTCTCTGCCGTTTCGTCTCCTTCTGTCCACCAGCTCGCGCCCGATGCCTCCGCGCGGACCGCGCAG